AGTGATTCACTTCAAGCAGCATTTGCTCATTTTATTGGGATTTAATGTGGGGCCTTTCTGTTCTTTTATTTATTGTCATGTTTCTGAAACTCGTGGTTGCAGTTTGGCGGTTATTTTTGGCGCAGGCCTTGTAACTAGTTTGTCTCCGTGCACACTGAGTGTCTTACCACTGACATTAGGTTACATTGGTATGTAAAGTCAATATAATAAATTTAGTCTTCGTTTGAGAGGGCTTTCTTACTGCTTCTTGAAACGACTTTCTAGTACAAAAAATTTATTTTTTAATAGAAAGCTGTTTTAAGAAGCTGGAAGAAAGCCGTCCCAAACGAAGCCTTAGTCAACTGTTCGAATGTGATTGTTGATTTTATTTCCTGAATCTCATTAAAATATTTCTGTTTTGGCTATTACATTGATGCCTGTGAAATATCTTGCAGGAGCATTTGGCTCTGGAAAAAGTCAAGCTGAGGTAACTACTAGTTATAAAATTTCACTTGGGTTTCAGATTTAGTATTGCTCCGGTAAAGTACGACCTATAGTGTTCCTGTGAAGTTTCTTATAGCTGAATAAAATGAACTTTAAATTATTCGAATAAAAAATTGAAATGTTAGGTTGGTCAGCACTCAGCAATTAAAAATGCTCCTAGAAAATGGGCATTTGATATTTATTGATTCTAGTGAGTCAATCACGCGCCGCTTATTTTCTTCCTATTACTACATTTGCAGCTCTCCAGCACTTCTCTAGTTTTTGGTCTCATCTTCCTAATCGTAATGATTTATCATGTTATAACATGAAGTCTTGTAATTACATTTTATTAACTTTTTTTCTAAGGGTGTGTTCTTGTTTCTGTAACTTTTTGATGCTTTTTTTACATCATCATAGGTCAAGTTATCCTTAAAATAAATTACCGCATCTTCAACATTTGAATTAATATCACCCATCTCTTAAATTAAGGCAAGGCGCTCACCTTAATGTTTGATGCGTTAAAGGAAAGATGCTCGCCAAGTGAAACCTTGGTAAATGATGCCCACGTGGACTCGCATTGTCAATCCCAACATAGTTGAGCACCTTACCTTCAACAACAGTAATCTAGATTTCTTATTTGTTGCTTTAAATATTCTATATATCTCACTTTGCCCCTCTTTAGTACCAAACCTATTATATAAATCATCAAATATTGTAGCTTTTAATTTGGTCATGACACCCTTTGCAAGACCCTTGCCTTTCTTATAATTATCTTAAACTTAGCAATATTTAATTTTGTCTACATTTTAAAAGCACACTTCTTCTCCTTACATTTTAAAAGCACACTTTATGATTTTGTGGCTCCTGTAAATATAAATATTATCATCAATTTCTTCATGTGTGTTTGCTCTTGTAACATTATAGGTTATTGAGAAATCAAATATAGCTTCTCTCATTATGTTTTAAATTTTCTATTCATCACACTCCATGTGCGAATTATAGAGATTGTGCGAATTATAGAAGAATTAAGTTAATGTGTCATACTTTAAAACTTTGGAGAGAGTTATGGAGCATAGACTACGTCGTGATACTAATGTTTCTCAAAATTAATTTGGATTCATGCTGGGTAGGTATACTTTGGAAGCTATACATTTATTGAGAGATTTGATGCAGTAGTATATAGAGAGAATACGGAGGATCTATATATAATATTTGTTGATTTAGAGAAAGCATGATAAAGTTCCAAGAGAATTGTTATGGAGAGTTCTAGAAAAGAAAGTGATTAATAATGTTTATATTCAAGTCATTAAGGATGTGTATGCAGGAGCTATAGCTCGTGTTCAAACACAAGTTGGTTTGACCAAGTATTTTCTTATTTTAGTTGCATTACATCAAGAATCATCTTTAAGCCCATATCTTTTTTGCTTTAGTCATAGATGTCCGTACTAGACATTTGCAAAAGGATGTAGACTGGTGTATGCTTTTTGTTGATGATGTTTTTCTTGTTGATAAGAGTAGAGAGGGAGTTGAAGGTACACTTAAATTATGGAGGTCAACTTTAGAGTTTAAAGGTTTTTCGTTTGCATGGATCTAAAACTAAATACATTGAGTGTAATTTTAGTAGTAATAGATCTAGTGGGGGATTGTGACTTTGGGCGAACAAGTCATTAATAAAGAGTACATGTTTTAGATATCTTGGATTTTTTGTCCAGAGTGATGTTAAAATAGATGGGGATATTATTAGTAGAATTCAAGTTGGATGGTTGAAGTGGAGGAATGCATCGGGCTTGTTGTGTGATAGAAAACACCAACACCACTCAAACTTATGGTAAAATTCTATAAGATGGTGGTGAGACTTATACGAAGCGAGCATATACGTGAAAAGGTTGGAGTAGCTCTAGCGAAAAACTAGATTAGAGAGAGTTACCTTAAGTGGTTTTGTCACATAAAATGGTGGCCTTCCGATGATCCAGTTATGAGAGTAGATGTATTAGATTTGACTTATGTTAAGAAAGATAGATGTAGACCTAAGATGACTTGGTTAGAAATTATTAAAAATGACATTTCTTGATTAGATTTAAATGAAAATTTGTAAAACCCGAAAATATTGAATCGTAGTGTAACGACAAGTTGCGACACAACACGACAAAAATAATCAAAGTTTCAAAGTTGTCAGATTTTGACAAAAAAAAATTTATAAAATTCTACGCTTAAATTCGATCATTTTGATATAAAGAACATAGGGTCAATTTTGCTCGGATTGAAAGTTAAAAATAGGCAAAGTTTTATAAATGTTAATTATTTAATAACCCTTATATGTCTTCATGAAATAAAACATGTAAAGGGGCAATCTGGACTTTTGGCAAATCCCTAACCACCTGAGGAGTTAAAAGGGACCAAATTCTTTCTATTCCTACTCATTCCCATTCGGCCGAACGTGAGAGAGGAAGAAGGGGGGCGGCTGCAAGGCTCCAAGGTGAAGACTATGGTGGTTTTCCGACGACTTTCTATGGAGGAAATTGAAAAGGGAGACTTAGGGAAGAAAGAGGTGAGTTTCTAACTTAGATTTTCTATTTTTTACTTGGATTTCATGAGGTGAAAATTCTAGGGTTCCTCCGAAAACTTAGAATTTTTCAAGGAGAATGATAAGGAAAGTTTGGGGAATGATTTTAACCATGAAAATGAAGTTTTTCCCAAATTTTATTAGGTTTCCAAAAATTAGAGTTTTTCCTATTTTTTATTTCTATTAAAATTCTTTAATGAATATTGTTCCAAATAGTATTATGAATGTTTTAATGGAAGAAATTAAGATTTTTCACAAATTTTTAATTTTCCTAATTTTTAATTTAAAATAATCTGTAAATGTTTAAGCCCTTATTATTAATTAAATGATGGAGAAGTTTTGGCATGTTAATATGATGAAATTAATGCAAATTTTATTTTCAAAATTATGGTTTTTAAGCAAAACCGAAAATAGAGTTTTTTTTTTTTAGGAAATGGTAAAATGTTAAAATAGGAAAATTATGAATTTTGAAAATAATTTAATTAAATCCGACAATAATTAATATTAAAATATTAATTAATGAAAATGTATTATGTTATGAGTTAATAATAAAGGTGTTCATTATTAGGTGTTGGATATAGGAGCAGATATATGCCATAAGAATAAATGGTTACTTATTGAGATAGGTGTTTGTATTTCTCTTAATTTTATAATTCTTATTCTCTAAATGTTAATGTTATGAAAAATGCATATGTTCTAGTTTTTTTAATTATTATTCAATTGAAAATAACATATTTGTTCTTTCGTACTATAATGCAGTAAGAAAAGATAGATATTATAACATGTTTCTTTTAGGTCTATTAAAATTTATACTTGTAAAAATGCATAAAAAATATCGTATTAAATATAAATATATGATTAAATGAATTTTATCATTTCTCTTACGATAATGCATAAAAGAATGTGTATGTTCATACGGAGTATCATATGGTAAAAGACAAATGTTAAAAACAACTAGTAAAGGAATATATAAATCCTCGGAACAGACTGAAAATAAAAGCAATGACCAAATTGAATGTGTATTTGATCAGTACAAATTTTTTATACTTCCATTACGGGTGTATATGTTATAGATAAGTATTATATGCATAAAGAACATCAAGAAAATGATGAAAGAAAAAAATGTCATGGATAAATATTATATGCATAAAAAACATTAAGAAAATGATGAAAGAATGAATGAAAAAGGCTAATGTTATATGAAAAGAAAAAAATGGTCATTTAGAATGACATATAGAATAAGTATGTAACATACTACTTTATAAAAATTGTATTGTTTCTTTTTATAGTTATTTATATACTATAGTATGAAAGTGACATGCATAATGTATTTTTCTTTCCTTGCTTTATAAAATTGATAAAAATGCATGTTACCTACTGAGTGTCAGCTCACCCAAGTTGTGAGATTATTTTCAGGAGAACCTGCTAAACAGTGATGACTAATAGAATTCCTTTCACTTATCGTCGTAGAGAAGCGCAAGGGGACATGTTCTTTGTAGATGTTTTTATGTCCCGTGTATTATGAACTTCTTGTAGTAGTCTTATTGGTTTAAGTTTTATTGTTGTTTTTTATGTATTAGAATTTGTTATAATGGAAGTTTAGTGGCTCTTTCTTATTTGTATTTATATGAATATTTGATTATGTTAATTTGAAATGAAAGTTTTAAATAATTACCATATGATGGTTTGTTCCCGTCTCGTTAACTTGAGCTTATCGGGCCGGATCGTGACAAAATTTGACTTTTATTAGGGCACAATGGAGAAAAAGTGTCACGACTCGGCCCGATAAGCTCGAGTTGACGAGGTGGGAACAGACAGCCTACGAAAAAATTAAAACTTTCATTTTAATATTAACATAATTAAATATTTATTCAAATACAATTAAAAAAGAGCCACTAATCTTTCATTCACATAATTTTTAATATAACAAAAGTAACAACTCATAAACATAAAACTACTACAAGTACACCACACTACATAGTCCATCACATGACATATAATAACCATAAAGAACCTGTCTCATTTGGATTCTCTACGATGATAAGTGACAGGTTTATCAGCCATCAAAGCTAAGTAGGTTCTCCTGAAAAATATTTTCACAAGCAGGGTGAGCTAATGCTCAGCATGTAACAAGTATTTCTATTAATCTATAAGGCAAGAAAAAGAAAAAAATTATGCATGTAATTTCATATTTCAGTGCTAAGTAACTTAAAAAAGAAAAACTATAAATGACATGAATTGAGATTGGGTTTGCATATTCTGTATGACATCATATATGCCCATTTTTCCTTTATTATTTCATATGACAGTAAATTTCATTTATCATTCTTTTCATAATTTTCCTTTATGATATTTTTTATGCATATAATACTTATTCATAACTTTATATACTCGTAACAGAAATATTAAGATTTTTTTATACTGATCAAGTACACTTTCAA